ATCTGGAGATTGTTGAGAGAGCTTATCTTCAAGGCCTGGGTTTGCAAATAAGTGTGTTTGCAAGATGCCTCAATGGTTAGAGGTGCTTGCTGCCAGGTCTGCCAACCCGTGTTGTTTTCTGACCTCCCTGTGTGTCCTGTGGCACTTGTGTGCGTACACATACATGCCTGTGCACCCATCCAACAAGCAACAAACAAATGTAGAAAGAAAGGAAGACAGGTAACAGTCCCAGGCAAACCTGTTGTTGTGAATTATAAAGTAGGTGTCTGTTGGGACCATTTGGAGTCCTGGCCTCCAGCTGCTCTTCCCTGCTAGAGATCTTTACTTTCCTTCTGATGTGAGTTACTGAAAGCTGTGTCAAAGTTGTTTACCATCTCTGCTTCACGAGCACGTGTTGCCTTGCCTTGAGGTTCAGAGGATAAGGTTTTCACCTGTTGGCCCACTTGACTGTTGGGAATATAAGCCTCCGTGGTGCTATTGAAGAAAGGGGTTTCTTACCAGTGACTTGAGGTCGTGTCTCTGTCTCTCTGTCTGTGTCTCTGTGTGTTTCAATCTCCAGCCCTTGCCCGAAGCTCGTGAACTGTATGATAGCGCATAGAGCGCAGACGGGCGTTGTGCGCTGCAGCTGGCTATTCTAAATTAAAACAGAATGCTAGTTTAGTTTAGAGAAAATAGAAATTGTTTACATCAAGAGACAGTGATTAGGTAAATCAAATGGGAAAGTAAAATACAAAGAAATGAGAATACTTATATTTTAAGTAGCTCTGAATGGAATTTTTGTTTAGCTTTTTTTTTTTTTTACCATTGTCCATACAAATTGTAACCAATATTTTAAAAAAGAAAAACTTCCATAATTTATTTTTTGGGAATGTGGGCATAATTTTTATGCTACTTTTTGCTGATTGGGGGTACTGATAATCTTATGGGGACATAAAGAAAAATTAGAATTGTGATCAAGTCCTTATTGGAGTATCCTGTGAGGCTTGATCATCTCAGGCAAGAGCAGGATGCAGAACTCAGACATCTGGGCCATCTGCTCCTATTGGAGATTTTTTAGGGGGTCTTTTTTGATCAAACCTTATTATTTTTTAATCTAGACTGAATCTACAGTCTCTCATTTCCTGTGGAAACAAAAGCAAAACCTCTCTTTTTTTTTAAAGTAACATACCTTTTGACTTAAATTTTGAAGTCAAGGCATTTTTAAAATACATATAGTGGATTAATCCAGCAGCATTTATAATAAAATGTTGCTCCTTTATCAGCAGTCATACATTCAAAGACAACACAATGTACAGTATCCAGACTCTGTATTTTTTTTATCTTTACATGGCTTTATTTTAAACTTTCAATTTTTGGCTTTTTGAGACAAGGTTTCTCTGTGTATCTTTGGTTGTCCAGGAACTCACTCTGTAGACCAGGCTTTCCTTGAACTCACAAGAGATCTGCCTATCTCTGCATCCCAACTGCTGGGATTAAAGGTGTGTGCCACCACAACTAACTACTCTCTCTTTTTTTCTTTTTTCTTTTAAGGACTTTGTTTTTTCATAAGCCTACATATATTTTTAGACATTGTAAACCATTTAGAGGTTTTTTTTTTTAATTTGAAACTATCTTTTCTGTATATCTCTCTTTTTTGACCACTTGAGTCCTTAATTTACTAAATGATATGGCTAAGATTAGTGAACATGGTGGATAAATGAATCCACCCCATTTCTTAGCTTTTTGAGAATCTGGCCTTATGGCAGAGGTACTGGCCAGAGCAATGTTTATTCTCACAACTCTATGGTATTTTAAGGTCTCTGGCAGAACCAAGAAGCATGTTGTTGGCAATTTATAAACATCATTTTAGTGTTTGATGGCAGGGCCTCTTAAAAGAACTGCAAAGTTTTGCAGCTAAAGCTGAGTCAGGAAGCCTCTCTAGCAAAGAGAGCAAACCTGAGAAATTGCTGCTACCAAGAAGTCATGCTTAATGCTGTTATTTTGTGTCTAGAATTACTTCCCAAGCTCTCTCAGGTTTTCTGTGGATGTAGTTGCCCTATGTTGGGTGCCATTTGTTGACAGAGATTTCTGTCCCACCTGGTCCTGCAGTTGTTCAGTCCTAAAGAAACACACACAGGCCTATAAACTGGTTGGCCTAGTAGCTCAGGCTTCTTATTATCCCTTATAACTTCTATTAGCCCATAAGACTTGTGTTAGACATGTGGCTTGGTACCTATTTTGGCGAGGCAGTCACATCTTGCTTGCTCTGTGTCTGGCTTCCTCTGTGTCTGGGTGATGACTTCTGACTGAACTTTCCTCTTCCTAGAATTCTCCTGTTCTCCTTGCCCTGCCTCTGTTTCCTGCCTGGTTGCCCTGCCTGTATTTTCTGCCTGACTACTGGCCAATCAGCATTTTATTAAACAAGTACAAGAAACAAATCTTTACAAGGTAAAACCATTGTCCCACAGCAAGAATCTACCATTGTCAATATTAACAAGAATTTTAGGCATGTAAAAATATTTATTTGCAAAGTGTTTCTTCAGTAGGTTTAAAAGACTTTTCTTTAAAAGACATTGATTTAAAAAAAACCTTAGTTTTTTAAACAATTGGACTGAATAGTTATCTTTAAAAAGGTTTTACAAATTTGTGGCATGATTAGCTTGATTGCTGTTGTATGTTATATATGTGCTGGGTTATGTATTTGTACTGTGTGTGTGTGTGTTCATTCATGGATGGATTCTGGGAATCAAGCAAGTCAGGCTTGCATGTTAAAGCTTTACTTTCTGAGCCACCGTGCTGAACCATATGTTTGTGAATTTAACTTGGATATAAGAAGTATTAGCTTTTCAGAAAGACTTCGGGCCAGCCACATTCCGAGAATCCGGCCACATTCAGAGAATCTGGTTGGATCACGTGCTCGTTCAGTCCCAGTCCAACTGGCCTTGGTGAACTCTCATTAGATCAATCCCCTTGTATCAGTGGGTGATGGCACCCCTCGCGGGCTGATTTCATTTTTCATTTTCTTCCTCCTTCTGCTCCTCATTTGGACCTTGGGGGGCTCAGTCCGGTGTTCCAACTTGTTTCCTCTGCATATACTGGATTTTTGGGATCCAGTCTGTTTGGATACTCACCTTCCTGGACCTGGAGGGAGGGGGGAGGAACTTGAACTTCCCACAGGGCAGGAAACCCTGACTGCTCTTTGGGATGGAGAGGGAGGAGGAGAGGGAGTGGGGGGAGTGGGAGTGTGTTGGGAGGAGGGGCGGAAATGGAAACTTTTATAATTTAATAAACTTTGAATATAAAAAAAAGTATTAGCAAAGCCTGGTATAAGTGATGGAGCTGTAGCTTAGTGGTAGAATACTTGTCTTGCATACATGGCATCCTAGGTTCAACCCTCCACTTCCCCATGAAGCCACTAACAATGGAACTTGGGAGATTGCTGATTGGATGAGAGTGCTTGGCGGCACAAGCATGAGCCAAGAGTGCGCATGATCTATGTGACCCCAGTGCTTGGAGTCAGAAGGATGGCTCACTCAGCCTTGCTGCCCAGCCAGCTTAGACAGAAGCATTGAGCTCCATCCGGGGTTAGTGAGAGACCCTGTCTCAAGGGTGGGTGCTGGAACCCGAACTGAGGTCCTCTGGAAAAGCAGAAAGTACCCTAACCACAGCCTTCTTTCCAGTCCTGGTTGTAGTTTTCTTGATGTCTTGAAATTGTTTTCAAAATGTGTGTTGGGTTTGAATCTTGATTGCACGTGTTCCCTGCTAGATTTCTCTAAACTCTTTCATTTCAGCTTTTCATAAAGAATATTTGATTTTAACGATCAATTTTCCCTTGTGTACTATTTAAGAAATCTTTGCCCTCTTTGAAAAAGCTATAACCATTTCCTGTCATCTTATAGAAACTTTATTGTCCTAACTTTTGTTTGTCTCTAGTACGCCCCTGCTTTTTTATATTTCCCATGGTCTGGGGTTGGATGCTATTAACTTGATTGCTCTTGATTTTAGCACAAGTAGATACAAAAAAATCTATTGGTATGACTTACTCATAAGAAAATACTTTAAAAATTCCATTTATTGTGTATGCGTGTGTGTGCTGTGTATATACATGTGGAGGGCAGAGGACGACTTTCAGGATAGGGTCTTTCTTACTTGTGTGTTCTGGGGATGGAGCTGAGATCATCAGACTTTACACCTAAGGCCTTCACCTGCTGACCCATCTTGCTAGCCCAAGAAACATTTTATTTCTGTAACTGGTATATACTTTCTAGATGGTAACAGTTTGTGTTCTTAGTTAAATCTGTTGAGTCGGTAAAAGGAGTTTTAAAAGTTTTTGCCCTTGATTGAGAGGTAGTCAGTTTTCCTCTACGCTGTAGTACATTTGTTTGAGTCTTGTGATGATTAAAGATGTATGTCTTTTCTTTTGTGGCAGATTCTCTAGCCCAGGCTGGGCTTGAACTTCCTGGGTGGCCTGACATTGAGCTCTTGATCCTCCTGTGTCTACTGCCCAAAAGGGCAGGACCCATACCTGTTTATCCTGATGGCTAGGAACATGAACTGAGTTGAGTGCAGCTGCTGTGCTGAAGCAGACGGCTTAGTCGTTATTAAAAATGAAGTGATTAACAGCAAAAAAGATAAATATATGCTTTTTAAAGTCCAGAGTGAAGTGCTTGGCAAATAACCAGCTCCCTAAATAACATTTAGTACTTCTGTTCCTGATGCTTTGAACCTAAGGAAACTTGGGACCTGACAGAGATGATTTGTACTATAGTTATTTTTATTAAGTAACATAACTTAAATCTGACTTCTGTAAACACTAAAATCAACTTTTCAGCTTATACATAACTTTGCTATGGATAAAATATTTTAATATTTTAAACTTTGCCAGTGTTCTGATATTCTGATAGTTTATTAGTTCCTCCATGTGTTACTTATGCAAGCTATTTTTAAGAACATGAAAATTTTGTTTAAATTTGGCAGAGTATGTTTAATTTTGACATTGAATCATTTTTATTTTTATTTAGGAAATCTCAGCTATCAACGAGACTTTTAAAAGGCTCTCTAAATACTTGGTAAGTGTTTGGTTTTCTTGTACTTTTACATGTTCCTTAAATTTATGTATATGCACTATAAATGCTCCTGATATCAGTAAGTTAAATTGCAATAAGAATTATATTTGTTTTCATTTTTACCTAGGTACGAGAATTTCTTCTCTTTATAACTTTTGTGATCCCTCTACACATTGTGTCTAGAAAATCAGGTTAGTAATCAGGAATAGCAAATTTATGAGTTAAATAAGACTTTTTCCTACCTGAGATTTTATAGTAATGATCTATTAATTGCCAAAAGACATGCAGATTTATTATTATTGTTATTATTACTATTCTTCTATTTATTACTTTACTGTTCCTTAATGTATTAAATCTTGTTTACTACATTGTGTCAGTGTAAACACTATTACTGAGGTCAGCATCTGTCGTGTTTCCAATCTGTATTATTTTAATTTCTTTGTTTTAAGATTAAAATGAAAGCTTTTGTAGTTGCCTCTAATTAAGAATCTGTTAAGTTACCATTTCACTAGCGAACACGGTTTTTCTAGTCCTCAACCTCATCTCTGTGTATAGTATGTGTGTGCACACACATGTGAGTACAGACATGTGTGCTTTATTACTCTTTGGTCTTACCCTCTTAAGGCAGGGCCTCACAGGAACTTTACCTCACCATCTTTTCATGTCCCCTAACCCAGTGGTGGGGTTACAGCCCGTGTGACGAGTGCTGCGGATCAAAGCTTAGCTTCCCCTGCTCGCCCAGCAAGCACTCCTGTCACCCAGCCATCTCCCCAGCCCGTCTCTCGTTCCTGCTTGTCCTAGATGACCCTCTCTCTCTGCCCTTCCATCCGTGTGTCTATGCATCCACCCACGCACATGTGTATATTCAGCATGTAACAGGTGATAATTTCTTTTCCCTGAGTGTGGCTTAAACGTCGATTAACATAATGCTCTCGTATCGACCCACTTTCTTAGACATTTTTTCTCTTCTTCATAGCTGGGGCTGTGGACCTCCGTAGTGAATATGTGCTACCATTTCTTTGTCTACTCCTTCATGTGGATGCTCATATACATGCTGACGTAGATTCTTCTGGAAATATGCTCAGGAATGGGATAGCTGATCACATGGAGTTCTATTTGTAGTTTTCTGAGAATCCCCTATACTACTGTCCATAGTGGCTACGCCAGCTTATGTGCATTTCTTTTTAATAGTGGAAAATTTTAAAGTGATTAAATGTTTGGGACATCTGGTAATCAAGTACCATGATATAGTTTATGGTTGTTGTGAATATAATCACTAAAAGTGTTTATTTCTTTAGTTAAAGGGGAATTCCTAGAGACATGGAGAACTGTGAAGTGAGCAAACATCCTTTATGTACTAAACTGTTCACTGTATTGGAACAGAGGGTATTTCCATAACAGGTGTAGCAAATGCTACTCTGAGTACACGTGTTCAGTACACACTTGGGACTTGTAGCATATTCAGGAGCACAAGACAGAGCAAAGATAGCAGATACAGACTTCTTCTGCCTTAGAGTGTGGCAACTGATTCTGAAGTGTATATACAGAAAAGGGGAGTAATCTTCAAGTGTATTCAGTATACACACTAGTACTTGTGGACTAGTCAGTGATCC